CTGTGAGGAGTCCCACTGTGATAGTGAGAAGAGATCGTCCTATATAAATAAACCTCATGTATATATTTATATGTGCCTTGGGTATGCGTGCGGCTTACTGTGGTCGTGCGCAAGGGTTAGCCAGATTATGGCCTGAGAGAAAAGGAAGACCCTCTTTTATTCTTTGCTTTTTAGAATTTTATAGCTGGACGTTTTAGTCCGTGGCAACCGTCAAAGTCAAACCCCTTGACTTATCTCTAGGCCTGAAGTGGGGCTCATCTCCAGGGCAGTAAGAAACGACTGCCACCACAGGTACGGAACTGTGTACCACCCACTTTGCACAGGGTGCAGAAGAGGGTGTGTGGTCTTCAACCGCGCATGGCGGTTGTCCAGCGTCGAGAGAGTAACCCTCAAAGCGCGTGTCAGCTGACACTTGACTGCCGAATGCGACCCTCGAGGTTAACGAGGACCGCATGAGTATGGGTACTACATAGTACGCCATCATTGCGACTGCCTACGTATGCTTGCATTGCGAGTCGATATGAGTTAGCCCTGCGTCCGCGCGGTTTTATACTAAGTCTCGCGCGCGACGCCTATTCGATTTCCGCATCGGACAGTTATGGGATGGCTACCGAGGGACTAGGAGCATTGTCGCGTTGTTTGTGTTGTGTCGTTTCGTGTGTGTGTGTGTGTGTGTGTGATTCGAAAAGTGGTGTGTGCGTGGTGTGTGGGATGTGTCCTAGTCGACCGACGACGAGTCGCGCTTGGGACCTCAACCCCCCAAGACGTCGGTTCGCGTGCGGGTCCGATAGAGGCGTATTACCGCGCGTGCCCCCTATGCTACAGCGAACGAGAAACGCCCTCGGCTGGTCCACCTCTGTGATTGCAACTGATCAGCTTTCGTACTGTGGACTGGTAGCTCGGCGAGGATACGCCCACCGAAGGGAGGTGACAACTCCCGTAAGGTGGAGGTAAGTCGTGCCTCGCGTAGGCCTTATCCTGTCGTAGGGGTTCGCGGGAGGTATGGCTGGCGCACTTGGTCGGAGCGGCTTGCGGAAGCTCCATGTGTATTCGTGACGAAGGATCTAAATCCAACTCCTGCGTGACACGGCCGCGAGGGTCCCGCGCTGCCCTGGTGCAGTGCCGGACCGATGCGCTCGACAGCGCTGCAGGGCAGCAGGGCGCAGGCGGCCATAGCCGGGCTGCTAGGCGCCAGGGGGTACAGCGGATGATCCGGTGGTCTTCAGGGAGTGAGGCGCTGTGTGGGGTAATCAAGGTCCGATTGAGGGTGACGAGATACGTACCTGGTACATGAAGAGAGGTCGCCGATGGTGTTGACAGTCATGTACGTTGGTCTTCGTAAGCCGAAGTGATCCTGTTGTGTGAACCAGCTATAGAGTTGGATAGTGTGGTAGAGTAGGCTGGGCGCTGTGCGCCAGACAAAGAGAACGACTCTGGATACTGTGTTGGTGTGGCCTACAGGCTTGGACATTGGCTCAATACTTCATTGTATTGCTCTTTATCGATGGTTTTCTCGGTGCATTTGTACTCTCTACTTGGGATACTACTACTTGCTCAGCTTTGTGATTTCGCAACTTGGTTTTATGTATATCGCTCACTCTCATATTCCTTGCAATTTGGTATCGGAGGTGGTGATGATCGCCGCTTACCTAGCACCGGCGACATTGTGACTTGGTGTGCTGACGATGCTTCATGTGCAGTGAGGATACTTTGCACTGGTTTAATAGCGGGGCCTAGGTAGAGAGGCCGGCCGCTGGAAGGCTGTGGCGACAACGTGGGAGCTGTGGCGACAGCAGGTGTATGTATGATGATGAGAGTATGTTGACGTGGCATTTTGGCTGAGGTGGCACCACATTGCGTTGTGGGTGGTACCGAGGCTATTGACCGGTAATTGAAATGCACATCAGCCCAATTGGTGAGAAATCTGTGGTTGGGGGCAGCTATCTCCAGAAACGTTGTTCCCATTCCTTATCTACCCTCTCAATCTCTTCTTACCGTGAGGAAGTGAGTCCAACTTGAGTATCCTCTCTTTGGTGAGGAGTCGTGTGCGCTCTATCTTGAGAGAGGACATTCTTCCCGGTGGTGCATCTGGCAGGAGAGGGCGGTGCCTCTGAAGGGCCCTGGTCGAAGCACGGGTCACGGTCACCATGCCAACCCATGGGTAGTAGTACACGCAGGCCATGCTGCTTTGTCCATTGAGGCTCTTTGCTGCGCTGATAGAAGGGGTGTGCGGACTGACCAGTCCTATTGAGACGCTCCCACACCGTCTATAAACATTTCTGGTTGGGGTATGAACTGTCCACTGGCTGTGATCGTCGTCCTTTTTGCGACGTTAAATAATTCCTGAGGAGATGGGGGCTCTCCTTAAATCCCTACTAATCAGCCAGATCTGTCAGACGTAAGGGTCGTTGCACGCGAGGGTAAACAAAGGGGCAAGGGGTGGGCCGTGGTTGCACACCTTAGACACCGTAGCTTGATGATTCTCACACGTACGTTGCGTACAGGGGAAGGGGATTCCATTTGTGAGCTCAATTGTACATCACTGACATATCCATTGTGCATACATCTGTTCACACTAGTCTAAGTTTTATTTTTGATTAGTTGGTTGACCGACTGCTAACACCTAACAGACAGACTAGAGTAGGACTGTAATCTACCATAGTCAGTTCTTCTCGAATCTTCTGTGCTGACTAATCAGAATCAGAGTTAGACAATGTGTACAGTTTGTATAGATGTTGTTGATGCTGCTTGATTAGTAGGCTAGGTAACTCGCCGGACATTTATTTTGTTTATTTTTAGATCCGGTCAGACGCACGTTGCGGTAGGTTCCAGCGAGGACATAAGTGCAGACAGCGTCTGCTTAACCTATGAGTGGATCAGAGGGTGGTGAAGGTACAAATGACGATAGGAGGATAACAAGGATATCATCCCTTAGAATTCCTAGAGGTTCCAAACCTTACAACCGGGAGAAGACAGAAGGTTAAGGGCTGAAGTTAGGGCCCGTAATCTTGAGGCTGCAAGAGAAGCAGCAACAGCTAGAGTTGTAGCAATGGCTACTTTCGCAGCATCTGCTGCAAACTCAACTGGTCAAGGGTTAGGCATGTCGACCAGTTCACAGTCAATCTCCAGTACGTAAGGGGTTGGCACTAGTCAAATGGCGGGCTCGCAGTTGAGCTCGCCGCCTCCACGCACTCGGGAGCAGATGGAGCTCCAGCAAGTAGAGAGGATCCGCTTAAGGTTAGAGGAGGAACTTAGACAGGCTACTAAAAGAGAGAGAGAGATCAAACAAAGAAGTGTCAGATTAGAGGGCAGGGAGGCAGATATGGCTTCGCTAGAGGCATTGGAGGACTCCGCACTTAACGCTACAGGAAAGGTCCTGAAAGCAAGTGTCCTACCCATGCATGCGTACATAGACAGTAAAATGGACGCAATGCCGGATACTCTATGCCAGATTCTACAAGCGCTGCATAAGCCAGGGATCCGGCCAGCAGCTTTCCCATCGCTGCCACTCTCAGCGTTGACAGGCCTCTATGCCGCTCAGTCAAGACCACCACCAAGTGTGTCATCAACAGTAGCTCTATCGCAGACTGTTGCTTCTTCATCTTCTGGTCCAGCGACTGTTGCTACACCACAGTCGCCACCTGTCTCACAACAGGGACAACAATATCCTTGGTACCCCAAGACCCCACTGAACCCACCTGCAACCTTCTTAGGAGACCAGAAGGATGAGGCTCTCGACACATGGTTGAGAACGGTGCCAGTGTGGGTGAGGGCAAGTGTGACGGACCCGCCGGGATGGCGGTCCGTCAGGATCAAGACGAAGGGATGAGGATGGGGGAGATGGAGATGGAGCTGGAAGGGACAGCGCAGCTCCAACGCAGACTCAACACGCACGTACTCCAATCTGTGCAAATGAAGAATGAGTCACAAAACAAACTGCAGTTGGGGTATACCCCCAGCAGACTGACTGGACTGGACTGGACTGGACTGGTACCGACAATGGTACGGGGCAGGACTGGACTGTGGACTGAATAACCACACGGCCTGTGGGGTCAGGCCACGGCCTGGTCCCACAGGCCGAACTGGCAAATAGCCAAATAGGCCCTGGCTGTGGGCCAGGGCAGATGAAGGCCCGCTGCACGATCCTCAGACCTGTAATGGATCGCAAGAGCCATAAACACGCTATCCGCAAAAGCAGCGGAACTCTGCAACAAAGAAAGCTGAGAAATCTAGGATGCGGAGCAAGCTCCATGCGGAGTCCATGCGATGCATCCTAAGCTACATAATGTCAAAAGAAAAGCAAATGTCTGGTATACATATCCTAGCTAACAGCAGAAAACGAAATGTAGTATGATACAATCCTAAAGTCCTGAAGGCAGTGGCCTCAGTGCTGAAAGGAAAAGAGCAAAATATGTCACAAGATAATGTCATGTCGCTGAACCACTAAGAGTGGGATGGTCTCAGAGGGGGTGAATGCAGCCTAAGAATCGAAACTCCTAAGGGCAGTCACACATGAAGGTGGGATAGGTCATCAGGCTCAAGGTGGGAGAGTGGTAGCGAAACAAAACCAATGACCCTAACAGATAGACCATCAAGCCGGGTAATGCTCGACAAATGGGTGACACCATGCAGGGTCGACCATGAAAAGGGGAGCCTGGAAGAGGGTGGAGCTATGCCGAACTGGAGGCATGCAATAGCCGGCGCTAGGGTGATGAGGGCAGTGGGTGAGGGAAACATGCACACAACTCACCGACTGAGAGAGGGAGCTAGATCTGGGAGCAAGGAAGCCAGGATAACGCTACGGTCCCAATGCCTATGCGATACCAAGGGAGAGCCCAACCCAAAGAGACCCAGCTAAGTGAGAACCATCATGCGACAGATGCAAGGGAATGTACATGGTAGGGTGGTGGCGTGAAGTAGTCACGTCCAAAGTAGCTGAAGCCGATAAGGTAGCTGAAGTCGTCGAAGTGGTCGATGACGTCGATGAAGTAGCAGTCGAGTCGATGTCGAAGCAGGGCCGCAAAACGCTGACATCCTGAAAGAAGAGATGATGATGGAGTACCTTATGGTGTGAGTCAATGGGGAAAGATAGAGGATAAGAGTGTCAGTCATCGTAACGCGAAGGGCGACGATGAGTGCGCTGTGGACGCTCGGAGGCGACCGTCTGCGGTTGAGGAACGGCCTCAGAGGGAGCGGGCGCGTCCTCAGCAATCTCCTCAGCCGGAAGAGGAGGAAGAGGGTCAGTCGGCTGAGTAGAAGCAGATATCTCAGCACGACGAGCACGATCATATGTACGCACCAACATCCTGGCGTGCTGCAAGTGCTTGAGGGGCTCCCAAGTAGCCTCCTCATCAGGGTAGCCCTTCCAACGCACAAGGTACTCGATGCGTGGAGGGGTATCGTCGGTAACTCGGCGTGATACGATGTCGGAAACAACGAACTCCTCGTGACCGTCCACCATGATAGGTGGAGGGCGCTCATAAGGGCGTCCGGCGAAGCGCTCGGACGGTCTGCGATAAGGACGCAGCAAGGAGACGTGGTAAACATCGTGTACGCGAGCCTGTCGAAGGTAATTAGGTAGCTTCACACGGAAGCTGACCGGACTAGCGGCAGTATCAGAACCGACGGCCTGAAGGATGTGGCATGGACCGAAGAAACGACGCCTGAACTTGCGAAGCGTATCTGCTTCGAGCTGTAAGTGGCATGCGTCGAAAAGGCAATTGTCACCAACTTTGAATGGATGATCCATTCGTGATCGGTTCGCTCGTGTGGCCATGCGAGTCTGGGAGTCGGCTAAACTCTCGTGTGCGCGCTTCATAATCGCCGCCATGTGGGCGATCCAGTCGTCAAGCGAAGGGCAACGAGTGTCTGGGCGCAACCGCGATGGTCGTAGGAAATCCGCGGGTACGCAAGGGTGGTAGCCGAGGTCGCAATAGAATGGCGACATCCTCGTGGCTGGCGAAACAGCGTGGTTGTATGCAATCTCCGCGTGGGCTAAGTGTAAGTCCCATTGCTGGTCATCCCTAACAAACTTTCGGAGGATATTACCGAGAGTTTTGTTGGTGACCTCAGTCTGACCATCCGTCTGAGGGTGGTAAGACGATGAGAAGCGGAGGTGGGATCCGTACACCTCGTGTAGGCGTCGCCAGAAGGTGCTGGTAAAGTGCGGGTCACGGTCGGAGATGATGCTCTGAGGTAAGCCGTGATCTCTCACGACTCGGTCGAAGACTATGTCGGCGACCTCACGAGCGCTAATGCGATAGCGGCACGGAACAAAACGTGCACGCTTCGTGAAGCGATCGACGACGACCAAGATAGCATCATGACCGCGCTGAGTGGGTGGGCGGAGGGGACCAATTAAATCCATCGAGATGGACTGCCAACGACCTTCAGGTATGGGTAGGGGCTGAGGTAACCCATAGGGAAGGTGGTTCGCACTGTTTACCTCCTGGCAGGTAGAACACTCCTGGATGTAGGCTTTGACAAAGTCCTTGGACTTCGGCCAGACGTATAGGCGGCAAACACGAGCCAACGTCTTGTGGAAACCCCTATGACTGGCAGCTGCCTGGTCATGGAACTCTGCTAGAGCCTGGACGCGGAGCTGTCCGGTGGAGGGAACGCAGATACGTGGTTCTAGCTGACCAGATCTGCCATGCCAGTACACAAGGCCGTTCTCCCCGAGGGAGTAGGAAGGAACGGTCTTGCCACTCCGAAG